AAAGAAGTGAATAAGCAGCACTACTGCATGGTTCTGTGGTCCTAGCAAACGATTACCCTCTATGTCATCTGGAGTTGTTCCTGCCAAGAACGATCAGCCTAACAGTGTTCCAGCCTGAATAAAAGATAGCAGATGAATCAAATCTTTAAATGTCTGATGCGTTGTGCATCTGCTTCATTCCAGTGCCACAGACTCAGTTGGGGAGCCTAGCCCACTCTGTTCAGCCGCGGTTGTCCGCTGAAGAACAAATGTCCACACTCTTCTTTCCCATTGTAAAGTTTGCTAGGAAATGAAAGGTTTCCCTACGTGCAGCTGTAAATCAGGCTCATTTATCTGGCTGCAAGATTTTGGCCCAGTGTCTCTGCACCACAATTACCATAGCTGGCCCTGGTACCGCACAATGACGATCAATCATAGCAGCTCAGAGAGGAAGAACAGGATTAATTACAGGACAGATATTCTGTTATTATAATTCTAGTTCAAAAGGCCTGGTTTGATCAATTCCCCATTCATCAGAAAGCCGACAGCTGCAGGGAATTTGTGCCATCTTCCTCCCAGGAGGAGTTGCATTACAAAATGCTAGCTATTCTATAGGTGGCTGGCAAAGGTGGCTGCCACTGTCTATTTTTGGAGTTATTTATAGAATATTTGGGGGAAGCTAAATTACCTTTAACAAGTAAATAGAGACCTCTAGGATCAGAGACTTGAAAGAGACATGTATTGGAGATGATGACAGCGATTCCACGTGATTTAGAATTGTCTGGGGCACATATGTATTATTCAATCCATTTCCACTTGCATCTGTTAGATGCCTGTGACTTTTTATAATAAAACTACATTGGGAGAGGATCTCTTAAGGAGCGCTGCCACATGAGCTCATTTAACAGCAGGTCCCAATTCTTAAACATTGAAAGAGAAAGCTGACCCTGTCTCTAGAGTCTCATTTGCAGTTACTGCTACATCCAACCATTTTGTAGCCAGCTTCTTAAGGCAGAGTCAAGGGGCTTTGGAACATTGGCCCTGTTGGTTATTCAAACTTGTCTGAGGTTTCACAGTTGCTGAGCTAGATCATCAGTGCCAGAAGCTTCTAATTGATCCCTGCCATTCCTCCCCTTTAGTTTTAGCAGACAGTACATTATGATGACCTTGTCAGTTTATTCAGAGCTGTCAGATAGATTATTGCTTTCATACAGATAAGAAAATGACTTACGCTTCAGATCTCACTGCAAAGATGTCCCACATGATGGGAACTGTTTTAATGTAGAATTGTACGCATGTAGCAACCCTGCAGTGCTATAACAGTCCCTTGGAACACAGCTGACCAGGCAAGAGCAGCCATTTTGGTTGCCAGACAGCCACACCACCCTCGTCTTCCCTTTTAATGTGACTGATGTGCCTCCAAGGCTCTTTGGAGTTAGGTGAATCTTTTTTAGAAGTGGGGGAATAGCAGACGCAGCCATGGAGCTCACAGGGTGACCTTGGTCAGCCATTGCCTTCCTGCCTAAACTACCTCACAGAGTTTTAGTGGGGATGAATTGGCAAAGGGGAAAGCCTATATGCCAGTACGGCATACAGTGGTACCTCTGGTTACATACTTATTCGTTCTGGAGGTCCGTTCTTAACCTGAAGCTGTTCTTAACCTGAAGCACCACTATAGCTAATGGGACCTCCCGCTGCTGCCATGCCGCGGCGGCGGAATTTCTGTTCTCATCCTGAAGCAAAGTTCTTAACCCGAGGTACTATTTCTGGGTTAGCAGAGTCTGTAACCTGCAGCGTATGTAAACTGAAGTGTATGTAACCCGAGGTACCACTGTATTGAGCTCCTTGGAGAAAAATGGTGGGATATGAATGCACTAAAAACAAACAAATGAACAAACAAACAAACAAACAAACTTCTTATTATGAAACTCATAATATGTTAGTTTATCTGATAATCTGTCCCTGGTCAAAACAAACAAATTGTCATTGTAAGAAAAAGTTTGATCAAATGCAGAGCAAAATAAGAACAGTCCTGACTGTCCCACTGCCGTTCTGTGGACCACCTGAAGGAAGCTTGCAGGCCACTTTTGGGAACCTGTGCTGTGTATCAATAGGTCCATTCACCCCTCCTCAGGTGGGCGGCTGTGCGGGCAGCTTTGCAGGTGGGCCCAGGGCCTCCTCTGCGAACCATAGAATCATAGAATCATAGAGTTGGAAGAGACCACAAGGGCCATCGAGTCCAACCCCCTGCCAAGCAGGAAACACCATCAGAGCACTCCTGACATATGGTTGTCAAGCCTCTGCTTAAAGACCTCCAAAGAAGGAGACTCCACCACACTCCTTGGCAGCAAATTCCACTGTCGAACAGCTCTTACTGTCAGGAAGTTCTTCCTAATGTTTAGGTGGAATCTTCTTTCTTGTAGTTTGGATCCGTTGCTCCGTGTCCGCTTCTCTGGAGCAGCAGAAAACAACCTTTCTCCCTCCTCTATGTGACATCCTTTTATATATTTGAACATGGCTATCATATCACCCCTTAACCTCCTCTTCTCCAGGCTAAACATGCCCAGCTCCCTTAGCCGTTCCTCATAAGGCATCGTTTCCAGGCCTTTGACCATTTTGGTTGCCTCCTCTGGACACGTTCCAGTTTGTCAGTGTCCTTCCTGAACTGTGGTGCCCCGAACTGGACACAGTATTCCAGGTGAGGTCTGACCAGAGCAGAATACAGTGGCACTATTACTTCCCTTGAAATAGATGCTATACTCCTATTGATGCAGCCCAGAATTGCATTGGCTTTTTTACCTGCCGCGTCACACTGCTGGCTCATGTCAAGTTTGTGGTCAACCAAGACTCCCTATTGCGGTCAATAACCGTCCTATTGCAGGCCAGATTATCCTCCTGCCACCAATTTGGCCAACAGCAGCAGGAAGTATAGGGCATTCCACTGGGCACAGGGCCAACTAACCAATAGCGGCACTTGGCCTCTATTGTTATTTGCACCTTAGGGAACAGGGTGGTTACAGGGCCTCGACATGCAATTGTGAGTCTGGCTTCATGTCTGAACAGCCAGGGGATCTACCATTGTTTACTGAAAACCTCTAATGGATCGGTGCCATAAAGTTCATGGCCAAAGAACCACGCAATAGTAATTTTGTATAGTGAAGAGCTTGACATTTTAATAGTTTTAATTTTTTTTAGAAAAACTATTTTTCCTTTCAGGTTGTATTGATGCTTGTAATAAAAGCTTTTTGTGGATGATAAAGATGAGCCTCATTATATAAAATGACATGCTTGGGTCCAAAGTAATCATGCATCTAGTGAGTGATGAATAATAGCACAGCTCCATCTTCGGCTTAACATGTGCTGTATTTGATTTGATACGGCAGCCACAAAATTACTCATGTGCAAAATTAATCTGCGGAAAAGATGGCAAATGCTGGCATTCTGAAAAGCGATAGCCTAAGTTTTATATCTTGTTTACTGGGCTGCTGTGATTTAGTGCCCATAGCATGGGACTTATCATTGTGCTTAACATTAATTAACCATTGTGTTTTCTGGAGGAATAAATGATTCAGTATACAGCAACGTTCACAGTTTTCTATTACTTCTCCCCCAGTTCCACTTATTCATATGTGAAGTCAGTTATTGGCTCTATCTGCTTCCCTCCAGATAGATAAATATGTTCTTTTTACAGCATTGTGTATGTGTGAGTATGCCCACCTGCCACCCATGAGCTGATTTGCTTGTTATTTACGTAACATTTCAAAATATACCAGGCTAACCCCCCAAGAAAGCATTGCAAGATGCATTTTTCCAATCATAAACTTAGAAAAACAGATAACGAAGCTGTTCAAAAATTCCTCTAGACATTTGACTTTGGCTTACAAAGATGACAACCTATTATTTTAGGGGAAGAGCTCTTTTGCATACAGAAGGTACCAGGTTCCTCCAGGTAGAGCCTGGAAAGACTCCTATCTGAAAACTTTGCGAAACAGGAAGCTACCTTATCCTGAGTCAGGGCTATCTTTGAAGGTGACCCGGAAACTACAACTAATCCAGAATGCAGCAGCTAGACTGGCGACTGGGAACGGCCGTCGAGACCATATAACACTGGTCCTGAAAGATCTACATTGGCTCCCAGTACGTTTCCGAGTACAATTCAAAGTGTTGGTGCTGACCTTTAAAGCCCTAAACTGCCTCAGCCCAGTATACCTGAAGGTGTGTCTCCACCCCCATCGTTCAGCCCAGACACTGAGGTCCAGCTCAGAGGGCCTTCTGGTGGTTTCCTCACAGCGAGAAGTGAAGTTACAGGGAACCAGGCAGAGGACCTTCTCGGTAGTGACACCCGCCCTGTGGAACGCCACCCCCATCAGATGTCAAGGAAATAAACAACTATCTGGCTTTTAGAAGACATCTGAAGGCAGCCCTGTTTAGGGAAGTTTTTAATGTTTGATGTTTTATTGTGTTTTTAATATCCTGTTGGAAGCCACCCAGAGCGGCTAGGGAAACCCAGCCTGATAGGCGGGGTATTATTATTATTATTATTATTATTATTATTATTATTAGAGCCAGTGTGGTGTAGTGGTTAAAAGTGGTAGACTTGTAATCTGGTGAACCGGTTCGTGTCCCCACTCCTCCACATGCAGCTGCTGGGTGACCTTGGCCTAGTCATACTTCTTTGAAGTCTCTCAGCCTCACTCACCTCACAGAGTGTTTATTGTGGGGGAGGAAGGGAAAGGAAATTGTTAGCTGCTTTGAGACTCCTTAGAGTAGTGAGAAAGCGGGATATCAAATCCAAACTATAATAATAATAATAATAATTACTACCACTAGTCCAGCTAGCTTAATATTGTCTATACCAGCGGTTCTCAACTTGTGGGTCCCCAGATGTTGTTTGACTACAATTCCCATCATCCCTGAGCTCTGGCCTTGCAGTCCAACAACATCTGGGGACCCACAGGTTGAGAAAGGCTGGTCTATAGTGACTGGCAGCAGCTCTCCAGGGGTTCTCTCTCAGCCTTACTTGAAGATGCCAGGGATTGAACTCAGGAGCTTTTGTATGCAAGGCAAATGCTCTACCACCGAGCTCTAGCCCTTCCTGCTCCTTGTCTGGTTAAGAATGTAAGGAGAGCCTGCTGGATCAGGCCAATGGCCCATCTAGTCCAGCACCCTCTTCTCATGGTGGCCTGTGGGAAACCTGCAAGCAGCATCTGAGCACAAGATCACTCTCCTGCAGTTTCCAACTGTAGCAATACTCAGCTAGGTGGACCAAGGTATAAGGTCACTTTCTATGTCTGCTCCCATCCCTCACATCTTGCCCCATTTGACAGGTCTTGTATCATAGTACCACGAGGATGCTGCAGTTAGGGAACAGACTTCTCAAGCCACTGATTCTTATGTTGTGGGCCTCAAAACATCTCATGGCTCAAGGGGCTTTTCGTTCAACCCTGTGCATAAGAACCATCCAAAAAACAAATGTTAAGAATTAGGTTTAATCAAAGAATTGGCAAAACACACAGCAGTAAATATATACATGCTCAGTAATCACACTTGACATTTGCTTTTGAGGTTAAGCCCAAAATACTCCATTAATCACTGGCTGCAGTTTAGTCCTGGCCTTTGCATCTGATTTTCAAAAATCACCTTCTATTCATTTTGTTTTTAATAGTATTTCCATAGCGTTTTTACAGCTCAGTTTTATACATTTTTACTCACAAGCAAGACTCACAAGCTAAATGGGACTGACCTGCTAATACACGATACTTTGACTGCAGCCGTAGTCACAATTTTATGGCATTTAAAAATGCTCCCAGTGCTCTGCATATACCGTCTTAGAACAATTGTGTAAAGTAATGCAGGCAGAAAACTAAGGTAGAGAGACAATAATGGTTCAACGGAGGCTACCTAGAGAGTACATGGTATATTTCAGGCTGCCTCAACCTTGGCCCTCCAGATGTTTTTGGCCTACAACTCCCATGATCCCTAGCTAGCAGGACCAGTGGTCAAGGATGATGGGAATTGTAGTCTCAAAACATCTGGAGGGCTGAGGTTGAGGAAGCCTGGTATATTTGAATGGTGGAGTGGTTTCCTAAGGTCACAATATTAGCAACAGTTCTCATATATTTTAAGAAGGGCCATAGTTCTGTGGTATAGCATCTGTTTTGCATGCAGAAGGTCCAATAATGACTATATTGTCAGATATCAAGTAGCAATAAGTGTCAAATACAAAATAATGTCAGATGCAAAATACAGAGATATTTGCCCTCAGGAATCTCACCAGGCCACACCTCTCTCACCAGGCCACACCTAGTGAGGTGTGTGTGTGTGTGGGTCACTCTGGATTATATCCCAGATCCCTTCCAATTCTTGGGATCCCTGTATCTTTAAGGGTAGAATGCATTGTGTCAGGGAACTGCCATCAGAACAGTGGTGGGAAACAGAGGAGCAGTTGTGTTACAGGGAGCCTCCGAAAATCTTGTGAAGCAGTTCTTCTTCCGGTGATGAGGAAAGCCCCATGTGATGGCCTGGGATTTGGACTCGGAGGCTGAACCTGAGGAATCCCAGCCTGCACAGGAGTCCCCGCCTCCAGAGCCAGCTGAGCCGGGGTTGGGGCTTGAGCCTGAAGGGTCCTCACCTGTGCTGGATCCTCAGGTGCAGGAACCAGCTGAGTCTGCTCTGGCTCCTGAGGTGATGGAGGACCCATTGCCTGCAGGTGCTCCACTCTCAGCCCCGTCAGGAGAGGCTGAGGTTGCCTCTGGGTCCGGTAACCCTCCAGCCTCTCCTGAGCTGCAGAGGCTCAGGCAGAAAGGCGGAGGGAACTAAGTTCTCGCAGGAGGAGTGCTCGCCTCCAGGCCAGGAGAGGTGAGTCACCTGTGGATCGGGGCCACCCTATGCCTCGGGCAGATAAAAGCCAGCCAGCCCCAGTCCCAGATTGCGGGAGCAACATCGTTTGTAGCCTGTTCCTGCCTGCACCCTGTCCTGCTCTTCTGCCAGAGTTCCTGACCTCATCCGACTCCCTGCCTTGGATCCTGCTTCAGCTTTGATGGACAGCCTCCATACCACACCCTCGACCTCGGACTGGACTCGGACATCGCCGCATGGTTAACCATCGGGACCAGCACACCCCGCCTCCAGCGGGGAAGAGGGAAAAAGTCCTGAGGATGCTGCAGGGAGCCTCAGCACCACTCCTGGTCAAGCCGGCCAGGAGGGAAGCACGCCCCTTCCGTCACCCACCCTGCGCAGAGGTCTAAAGCGCAAAGAGGGAAGGAAAAGGGTGGGAGTAACGAGACTTTTATGTTGGGGGAGGTCCAGGAAACAACCACTCCCGGATTCTGCTAGCGATTGAGGCAGACATGAACTTGTGGCTCTGCACTGTAAATAGTTTGCACCCAAAACCTGTAAAAGACAGGTCTGAGTCCTGCCTGGTTACTCACGAGCAACCACCACAGCCATCTGACACATTGGGTGGCATGTAATAATATCCCATAACAGAGTCTATGAACTGCTATCAAATATCAGAGATAAAAATATAAAGTATCACTGGAGAAAACCGTAAGAGCTGCTGTTGCGCATCAGACCAAATGCCTATTTCATTTACTAGGCTGTTTCAAAGAGTGCCTAGCCTCGTGTTGGATACTGACACTGAAGAGATTTGATAGATATTTAACCTATTTACTCATAACAGAGGATTTAGAGAGGCAAATTAAGATAATTTGTTGAAAACCAAACATAGCCATCAGCTTAATGGCACATTTCTAGATGTCTCAATTTTCAACACACTGGTAGTTTTATGTTTGCAAAGAACAGATAATGGTATTCTGATTTTTGAAACAACATAGGGTTCTATGACAGAAACATAAATAATAATAGTAATAAGCTGAACATGGGCAAGAAATGAAATTCCCATCAGATAAGCTAACATTTATTAGGAAAGAAAATCCTCAAAGAATACTCACACCAAGATCAATGTGGTGTCAACATTATAATTGCACTGTGTTACCCTGATAGACATAGTGACTGATGTTTTTAATTTTAAACATCAAAATCTGAAGTTCTTTGTCGTTTTTCCACACGGATACTGTATGTGTGCATGCACTTGACATTTGTTTTTCATTGGCCAACTTGAAATCATGACTTCTATGTGGAATTTGGTGAGATTAATTTCTTCAACTGATTTTTATCAGTACTAATACATCATGACTTACCTAGTTGTCTTGTACTGTTAATTAGCAAATTGCCATAGAAGACCGAGGAATGTCACTTTTTTAAAAGAAAGGGAGGGAGGAAAGTGTAGATTTACCGTATTTTTCGTCCCATAAGACTCTCCGTCCCATAGGATGCACCTAGTTTTTTGGGGGGGAAATAAAGGAAAAAATTTTTCCCTTTATTTCCCCCCCAAAACCAGGTCAGGGAAACCGAACCAGGTCGAGGAACAACGGGATGGCGGCGCTGCGCCTCCTTGCTGTCCAGCTTGTGGGGCTGGCCGATGTCTGTCCGGCGGGCGGGGCGCTCTGCTTCAGGGCGCCCTTCGCGCCGGGCGGCAGGCGGCTATCTGCAGCGTAGGGTGCCCTGCGGGGAACTCCCGCAGGGCTCCAACACGCTGCGGATGTCTGTCTGGTGGGTGGGGCGCTCTGCTTCAGGTTGCCCCTCGCACCGGGCGGCAGGCGGCTATCCGCAGCGTAGGGAGCCCTGCGGGACCTCCCGCAGGGCTGCCTAGGCTGCGGATGCGTTCCCGAAGCGCCGGGCGCTCTGCTTTCAGGGCACCCAACGCTCCGGGAAGCAGGCTGCTATCCGCAGCGTAGACAGCCCTGTGGGACCTCCCGCAGGGCTGCCTAGGCTGCGGATGTGTTCCCGAAGCGCAGGGTTCCAACACGCTGCGGATGTCTGTCCGGTGGGTGGGGCGCTCTGCTTCAGGGCGCCCCTCGCACCGGGCAGCAGGCTGCTATCTGCAGCATGGGGAGCCCTGCAGGGAACTCCCGCAGGGCTCCAACACACTGCGGATGTCTGTCCGGCGGGCGGGGCGCTCTGCTTCAGGGCGTCCCTCGCGCCGGGCGGCAGGCTGCTGTCCGCAGCGTGGGGAGCCCTGCGGATGTCTGTCCGGCGGGCGGGGCGCTCTGCTTCAGGGCGCCCCTCGCGCCGGGCGGCAGGCGGCTATCCACAGCCTACCGCAGGGCTGCCTAGGCTGCGGATGTGTTCCCGAAGCGCCGGGCGCTCTGCTTTCAGGGCGCCCGACGCTCCGGGAAGCAGGCTGCTATCCGCAGCATAGACAACCCTGCGGGACCTCCCACAGGGCTGCCTAGGCTGCGGATGTGTTCCTGAAGCCCCAGGCGCTCTGCTTTCAGGGTGCCTGGCGCTCCGGGAAGCAAGCTGCTATCCGCAGCCTAGACAGCCCTGCGGGAACTCCTGCAGGGCCGCCTAGGCTGCGGATGTGTTCCCGAAGCCTGGAGAGCGAGAGGGGTCGGTGCACACCGACCCCTCTCGCTCTCCAAGCTTCAGCGAAAGCCTGCATTCGCCCCATAGGACGCACCCAGATTTCCCCTTCATTTTTGGAGGGGAAAAAGTGCATCCAAAGGGCGAAAAATACAGTACCTAACTGCAGTGTCAGTTTCAGTAATTAAAATGTCTTTCTTGCTTCCTCTGTACAAATTATCCTAATTTGAGTTCTCCCACTGCAATGTTCTTTCTTCTGAATTTTAAGTTGAGGTATCATGAAAGACAGATGAACAGTGAAGGCAAATTTTTTGCTGACAAAGTTGCAGCTTACTACACTTTTAAGTGATTGCTGATCCATGGCTATTTGATATACCTTTGGGGACAATTAATTTGCTGATGAAGAATTACTCATTGAAACAGTTCATTATCCTGGGAGAACTGTTCTGTCTGCTGCTGTGCTTGGAGCACCCTATTGCAACATTCGGAGCACCCATCTTCTCACGTTTGTAGGATATTGACTGTGGAAAGGCATTTTGCCTCCATTTCAGTGATCTTTGACAGTGACTTACCACGCCTACCATTCCTATCCATTGAACATTTGTTCGATTTTTATTAATTTGTGATTCCATGCACATATAATATGCCTTCTGTTTATGA